TAAATGCTAGCCATTTTTATAACTTGGTATTGTCCCATAGAAAAGATTGCAGCATAAGAGGAAAAATAAATCCTCTGATTTGTTTGAATACCAGGTAGCTAAAGATATCGTAACATACAAATATTATATTCTTTAGTCTTAGAAGTAAAAGCTGACATTTATTGAGGGCCTACAATGTGCCTGCTGCTTTATTTATTTATTTTATTAAAATTTTTCTTTGGTATTGGGAATGAACACAGGGGTGCCTAACCACTGAGCTATAGCCCTGATCCTCTAACTTCTTTATTTTGAGAACAGGTCTCATTAAGTTGCTTAAGGCCTGGTTAAGTTGATGAGGCTGAGTTCAAGAACTTGTGATCCTCCTACCTCAGCGTACACCCAGCAGTATACACTAAAGAATCTACATATTTACGTTAAAATTTAAGAGGAGATTTGTCTTCACGTTATTTCCAACTTGCATAGTATATGCTATGTAATTTCAAATTCTTTAATTTACAGAAAGAAAATGAAGAGCATCATCGGTTACTGAAGGGGGCACCTTTCAAGTTAAATCTTTACCCAAGGGACTATTTTGACACTAATCCTTATTTTACTGAAAAACCTTTACCTCCAATTAAAAAAGAAGAGAAGAAAGAATCACTTTTAAGTCCTTTTAAGCCCTCTTCTCCTGGTAAAAAGGTAAGTTAAAAGTTTCAGAATGCAAAAAAAAAAAGCATTATAAATAGCCTCTTGCTGTAAATTGTTTTATTACTCATCAATATAATAAGCTTTTCTTTGTATGGATGCCAAGAATCATGAAAGCCTAATTTTCCAAAATTATATAAAAACATGGCTAAGGTATGTAATGAAGATCTTGTAATAAAGTAGTTACTAATCATTTCAAATATATTTGGACTTACAGTGAGTTTTCCAAGTAGCTCTCAAGACCTTAACCCTGGGTTTTTTCAAAACCATAAAATTTCCAAGTCATCTTTTTAGTTTTTAAAATGGTGATTAAAATGAACTACCTCCCTACTATAGATATTTATAATCAGTGAGAGTAAAAATTTTAAAATGCTCTGACAAATTATAAACCTTAGTTTTCCTTTGTCCTTTTTCCTTCTGTGAATTGCCTGTTCATTTTCTTTTTTTAAAAATTGGTTTTTAGTTATACATGACAATAGAATGTATTTTTACATATATCCTTCCCATTTTTGGGGTTGTTCATGATGTTGCCTGCTCATTTGCCTGTGAACTTTCTGTAAGGGTGTTTGTGCTTTCCATATTGACTCAAGATCTTTTCATACCGTAAGGATATATCCTTTTTTCATTTGTGGTGAAAGTAATTTTTCTACTCTATTAGATCTTTTGACTTTGATTATGTTATCTTGTGCTATTTAGAAATTGAATAAATTGATCAATCCTTTCTGGTGAAGTTTTGTGTCATTTTCAGAATGGATTTGTTGTTTTACCATTGATATTAGAATAATGTGCCTTATTTTTTTTTCTGCTAGCCTTATCAGATTCAATTTTATCAGATGTATGTTGAATTTTATCAAATGGTATAATATTACATCATTTTTTTCTCTTTTTTACTAGTTATAAGGTGAATAATATATATTATAAATATATTTCTGTAATGAATCTGATTTGGTGATATATTAATCTTTAAACATAGTACTATATTTAATTTGCCATTATTTTATGAAATGCCAACATGTGTGTGTGTGTTTATATGTGGTGCTGTGTATCGAACCCAGAGCCTGGTCCATGCTAAGTAAGTTCTCAGTCTGCACTGTGTGTGTGCGAGTGCCTTGTTTATTTTGGTACAAGTAGATGCTAGCATCTTAAAATACTTGGGGAGATTTCCTTCCTTTACGTCATGTTCTGTAACAGTTTAAATATTACCATCAATTTCCATTCCTCAGAATTCACAGGGGAAGTACAGAGGTTGCTCTTTGTCAGCTTTCTCAGTTCTTACATTGTATCTGTTTTCTATAGGATTTCTATCTCTTCTTGGTCAATTCTGATCATTTATACTTTCTTAAAAAATTATTTAAATCAAGTTTTCAAATTTAAAAATTTACTATATTACTATATGAAAAATTTACATTACTATATGAAAAGATCTTAAAAAATTATTTAAGTCAAAATTTCAAATTTCAAATCAAGTTTCAAATTAATACAGAAGTTTACAAAATATTATTTTATATATTTTGATATTCCTCATAGGCATGGATTTACCCTATTTTTAAATTTTTATTTCTAATATTGCTTCATATGTTTAGTTCATTCTTTAAAGAACCATTTGGTAGGTTTAGTTACTATATATATTTTCCTATTTATAATTTATTCATTTAAATTTTTTAAATTTTATTTTCAAGTTAATTTATTTTACTTTCCTTAAGTTTTCTTATTATTATTCAAAATAATCTATGTCATCTCAGTCTGGAAAACTTACAAAACTATAAGCATGTCTTTCAAATCAATTAAATTTGCATGTGTATTTTGGCTTAATTAAATGGATTATTATAACTAGAATTTTCTTAATGATTATGAAATATATAGGTAAAAATCCTGTCAAATCCATTTAAAAAGTGAAAGCAAATATTTGTCTGTTGTATAGGTAGAAATGCACTTTGTCTTACTCTAGACTACAAGAAAAGTATAAAGTGGATCACATTTTCCTCTCACCTTCTATTTCTATGTGTTGTTCATTTTTTGAGGGAGCTGTCTACCCCATCACTGCCTGCTGGTTAGCACACACATGTTAATTTCAGACTTCCTATTCCCTTCTCTATCAAAATATATGCTGGGTCTCATTTCCTCAGTAATAGACTCACCCTAACAAGGCAATAGCTTGATGAAACTCACTAACATTAATGCTTGGTAACATCTGAGAATAGTACCTTACTATAATTTTTTTTTTTGTTTTTATGGAGAAATTTTGGAATATAATATCTTAGCCTTATAGAATTGGTGGTAGCGAGACCTTTTACTGGTATTTGAATTAAACAAAAAGATAACTTCTTTAAATGTAAAACTAACTTCATAGATTACAAAAGTATCTATTAACTTATTCACAACCTAATTTTTAAAAAGTATTTTATAAAATCACATTAAATGGACTCATTTTTATTTGTAGCCTGGTGGAATGAAAGCAGGAACATTTGAACCTTACCCATCACATTCTACTGACCCTTATGTGCTTAAACCAGGAAAGGAGGTTTCCAAAAAAGATGATAAGGTTTTTCATCCCCCAAGTGGACCAAAAAGCAGACCAATTGAAAGTATAATGAGTTTGAATGTCAAAAGGTAGGAATATCTTATATTTAGCCTAAGAGTCAAAAAATATTTTCAAATTTTAGACTTCAAAATATTTATGTATACACTTTTAAAAATTAAAATTTGACTTTAGAAATCTAAGCACCTTCAATATACCTGTCTTCCCTTGTAAAAAGCACTTTATCTCTAGTTATTTAAAACTACTTGATATTTGTACTTTAACAGTATACACTATCATTGGCCATTTCTTAAAGGGAATTTCTCAGCATTTGTGAGGAATCGTTTTTTCTTTTTCTTTTTTGAGACAGGGTCTCATTAAGTTTCTTAGAGCCTTACTAAACTGCTGAGGCTACGCTTGAATATGTGATCCTCCTGCCTCAGCTTTTTGAGTGGCTGGGATTACTAGCATGTGCCACCATGCCCTGTTAATTGTGAGGAATCCTAATGAGGCTTAAGAGTTCTGCCCCTAGCTTTGAAATAACCTTCTCTGCAAACAGGAAATATTCTGGTTGATTAAAAATGCATATATAATACTTATGTACTTATAATACTTATATTTGTCTGTTTAATTGCTTTGACTTTATTGAAATCTGATTTTACATTATTGCAAATATCCCACATCTAGTTTTAGCTTCTTTTCCCCGAATTTTAAAATGAATAAACCTTTGGACAATAAGAGTTAAAATTTGTTACATAATTGTTTCTCCTGTTAAATTATGTTTTCTAAATTTATCTGACTTTAATAAAAGATAAGTTTTCTAAGTTTGTGAGACAAATTTTGTTTCTGGATCATTCATATGTCATCAAATATATCAGTGTAAATTTTTAATGTAAAAATTTTATAGAAAATGTGGATATATTATCTGCATGTCTAAAATTAAATGTGCCTTTATTCAATTTTAGGGCACTCAATATGAAGAACTACAAGACTGCTTCATTACAGTCCTATTAGCAACTGCAAGACACGTAACTTTCTAAATCCTTACTACCAGTAACTTGTCATCAAGAGCTAATTATTTGAAAAAATGCAAAATGCAAAGTGTGTGGAACAGATAGCCTTGAAAAGAAATTTAACCTCCAACTCCAATATTCTTCCTGATTTTAGTACTACTACTTAATAAATAGTTTTTGCTAATAATTTAACATGCGATTTCTGACTTATGTTTTAGATTTGTGTTCCTAAGCAGAGTATAATGCTGAAAAATGTTATAAAATCTTTAAATATAGTCTATTACTTGGAACCTTAAAATTTCACAGTTGAGGACAGGAACAGAGAAGGCTGGAGGAGTAGACTGTACACCACAAATTCTTAACTTGCTTCTTTTTCTCAGAGTGTTGAAAAACTGTACTGATAGTTATCCAACTGTCATAGCCTACCATTAACACTCTAAACAAAGAAACATATTAGATCCATTTATATTGCACAATTTATATATGTATACATTATAGTGAGACATGTTTCAACTCATGGTGTCATATCTTCTATTTGTAACTTAGGTAGAACATCAGATTACTTAGCCAGTGGCAGCTCCAAGATAAGTTGAAGGGGAGAGGGGGAATGCATGGATTCATTCTTATAATTTGTAAGATGGATTTGTTTTTGGTATTCTCTCACGTTCCTGTAAAGCTGCCTCTTAGAGCATCCAGATAGATCACTCCAATGCTTTAGTTCCCAAGTTCTTTCTTCTCCTTAATCTGCCCTCTCTCTTTTAAAAATGTGCTTTAAATATGATTAAATATATTACTGTTATTTATAGTGTGGTCTCTAATAGTCTTCAATTCAATGGGGAAAGAGGTAGTGATGTTTGTATTTTGAAAAGGAAACTTAAAATGTATTAGGGAAGTTATTTTTGACCAATGATGCTTTTTGAGTATTTGTTCCCCTACCAGTCTAGGCTCTTCAGAGCTGAAAATTGGACTGGAGAGGTTTTAGGACTTTTTTCCTTTGTGTCCCATTGTTTTCCATCGGAGAGAACTATGTTAAGGTTTTTGAAAGGGTAAAGATAGTTTAAAGAATTTTTGCTATTTTTAATTTTTTTTAAAAAATTCATGCTTTATAATTAATTAGTGGGCAATGGATGTCTTAAAAATATTATCATGGGTATAATTTGATTCAAAGGTGACCTATGTCTTCCAAATAGAAATGGCTTTATTAGTTTTTCAGCACATAACTGAATCAAATTTATAGTTCTATATTGATAAATATTACTGAGTTTTATATATTCTTTTGAGATTGTAGCTTATATATGTAGACTTTATGAATATCTATGTAATTGCCCATTTTAACTCTATCTTTTGTTAACTGCAATTAATTTTTATTAAAAGTGTGTCTTTTTAAAGCAATGCATGGTTTACATAATATATTCATAGATGGGAACACTCATAACCTTACTGAAAAGTATGATTAATAGTATGACAGTGGCAGACTTCATCTAGGGTCTACATCACTGTATTGATTTTCAGAAAAGTAGATGCAGAAACCAGTAACAGGAATCATAAAACATGTAAACAAATTAAGATTTTTGGGACTCAGGAGAGGAACACGCATTCAATTAAAGGGGTGCAAACAAGGATGCCCGTTGTTTTTAGGGATTGAAAGCAAGGGTGCTTAATCACTGAGCCAAGTCCCCACCCCTTTTTGTAAATATTTCATTTTTGAGACAGGGTCTCACTAAATTTCTTAGTGCCTTACAAAGTTGCTCAGGCTGGTCCTGAACTTGCAATCCTTCTTCCTCAGCCTTCAGAATCACTGGGATTATAGGCATGTGCCAGGAGTGCACCTTGCTGATTGTTTTCTTACAAGTTCATTTTTTTTTTAAGCTTTGGAAATAAAAAGATACAGCATGAAATAGTTTCCCGTGAAGCAGCTTTATTGTTCAGAACTCAGGGATGAGCAGGTAAGAGTCACTGGCATCCTATCTCTTGAAGACTTCGACATCAAGGTATCTGCTTTCCCAAAAGAAGCCTATGTGACTTGAATATTCTGTGTCCACCAACAGTGAAAAAGGGAAGAAAAATCTTGCTTAGACAGCCATTAATTTCTGCTACATATCATCTAATTGTATTTGTTCAAGGCTCAGAATCTAAACAAAGATTGTGGATGTTAATTTGATCATGGAAGAAAAACTTAATTCAAAAGAAATGAGAGTGTCAAGACACTTCTAAGGGGACTAGAGAAAAAGTTAAGCAGTGACATAACCCATTTCTGGAAATCTTATCCTGTTTCTTTGGAGATTTTAGAGACTTATTTAAAGTCTTTAGAGACTTTTTTGTTCTTTTTATATTAAAGTGTATGCAGCATACATTAAGAATAATAAACCGGTTCAACCTATTACTAGCTATGTATATTGAAGCAAATTACTTAACCTCTGGAGACTCTTTGCTCATAATCTACCTAGAAGAATTATCACAAAGACCAAATTAAAAATATTTCCCTGGCTATACAACACACACACATTTTTTTAAAAGACTAATCATTATTATCCATTTTTGGGAGCTGGGACTTTTAACTATGTAACCTTGGACAGTGAGATTCCTCTCTTGGGAATCCTTTGGCAAGGAGGCAAACGCCCAGTTGTAAATAACTCCTGTTGATAGAATTCAGTGTTTGTCATGGAATTTACTAGTTCAAAAGCCTTGAATTCTAATCCTGGCAGCCCAGAAGTAGATGAGTGCAAACTGATAAACTCCAATTAAACTGTTTTGCTCACAACATCTTCCTATTCACCTCAAGAAGCCTTTTCACAGTGAATCCCTTTGATGTTTAAGACCTATAAAATTAACACACGGAGCCCCTGCTCTTGTTGCTTAAGATTCCTTTAGGACTCTCTCACCAACTGGCCCACTACATCTATTTTTCATGTCTTTGCCTTTTTTTTCTTTATTTCTATTTTTTTATTCTCACTATATTTTCAATCTGCTCATGGCTCATGTTTCAGAGCTGTTCAACTGTTCACTGGCCGTGCAGGTAGGTCACAGGGAGAATCCATCCATCAAGTAGTTTTTGTAAATAAGTTGTATTTGCTAATTTGAATTTTATTAGTTATAATTGATTTAAAAATATTAACTTATTTAAAATACAAAAATGCTTATAGAATGTTTATTATAATAGTGTCAAGTACTATCTTGTTGGGAGCTGCTCTGGAAATACATGCCCTTAAGTCCTTAAGTCCTGCAATAACTTGGGCTTTATCTCCACTGAGATAATGAGGCATGGCTCCAGGAGTAGGTGTCACCTGGTGGGTTGAGTTGCACTCACCTGTTCCTTTGTAATCCTACCCCTTGCCTCATTTGAATGGCTTATCCCCAATAAAACCAGGTTCCAGTTGTGCTCTTTCTTTTTCTTGCCTACCTTGCCTCCTTTGTGGGAGCTGGGTCAGAGGAGCCATCCCAGAACCCAAAGGAAAAGGTATTTCTCTCTCTCTGTGTGCCAGCTCAGTTCACCTGGAGTGATCCTGACTGGTTTAGCCTTGTGTCATGACACCACCCCATATGATTACATATTGTTTATATTTATTATTTAATCTTCATTGGAAACAGATGTCAAGTATATTGTCCAACATAGCACAACCAACAAAAACAAAACCAGGCATTCTGTCTGCTTTCCATCAATTTATGATTCCATTTTGTACCCTAGTTTACCAGTTCTCCATAGAAAGAATGATAATTCTTAAATGTATGATATTCACTGTGCAGGCTTTATCAGAATTAGAGAATAGAGTAAGGTGGAGAGTATTTACTTCTAGGAGATCAAGTATAGAGCACAAGTTGACTGGAAAGGTCTTTTGCCAGTTTGTGCTGTCCCATATCTTATTAAGGACACTGGTTAGAAGCCTATGGGAAATAGCCAGAAAACCATAAAAATCTTCACAAAGAAATGTGGGGTCATTACACTTCCGTTAGGAAAAGACCTAAAATGTTGTCTCATTTAAACTTCTTGATGCGTAAAAGTCTTCATAACATTCCTACCAAGTGAATATCCAAGCTTTATCGGATACTCTCTAGCACAGTGGCAGCTTTTTCATTTATTATTTATTTAACAAAAGTTCCAGGCATGTTTCTGGGCACTGAGATGTGGCAGTAAACACAATAGACAAAAGACAGGTTAAATAAAAGTAAAAGGGTGTACCTAACTGTTCACTTATATTTGCTTTGTTCTATTTTGCCAATGTTTTTTAAATGATATACTACTTTGTAATTATAATTCTTACTATTCTTTAATCTTAGTTCTGTGTTTAAAAGGGTATACTGCTCATCATTAGTTCTTTTCTCAGTTATTTGATTTTACATTTGACTTTCAGGGTTTAGTAGTCAATTTTTGATGGTATATACTGTTTGATTATTAAAAATTTTTCCTTCCAATTCAGCATTACAAAATAAAAGGATAGAAAAACATATAATGCTATGTAAACACTAACAACAACTAGCGGGACTAGAGTAGTATCAGTCAAAGATTTTGGAACAAGGAGTATCATCAGGGATAAAGAGGGTTATTTCATAATAAAGGGAACAGTTCACCAATAAGATAGAATAGTGCTAAATGTGCATGCACACATCAAGGACTTTAAAACACATGAAACAAAAACTGATAGAATGAGAAAACCCATTTTCCTATTTCTCTATCAGTAATTGAACAAGTAGACAGAAGAGCAGTAAAGATGCAGATTTTTTCAACACTGGAACCACCTCTACTGAGTTACATTTATAGAACACTCCATTCAATAATAGCAGAATATACATTCTTCTCAAGTTTACATTAACCAGGATAGACCATATTCTGGGCAATAAAATAAGTCTTCCCGAATCAAAACAACCAAATTATGTGTAGTATGCTCTGTGATCATACATAATTTCTGCATCAGTAACAGTAAGATATCTGAAAATCTCCAAATATTTGAAATTAAGCAAGTTGCTTCTAAATATTCAGCTAGATCAAACAATAACTAATAAAAGAGGAAATATTTTGAACTAAGTGAAAAAACATGAGTGTGGTGCAGCTAAAGTGGTGCTTGAAAGTTATAGCTTTAAATGTACAGAGTAGATAAAGACGAGGGTTTCAAACCACATACCTAATCTTCCACCTTAAGAAACTAAAGAAAGAACAAATTAATACCAAAATAAGCAGAAGGAAGGAAATGGTTAAA